ATTGAAATACAAGTGCAGTTAGCATGATGTGCCGAGCCCGGTGCATGTAAGACAGATGTATGGATGCACGCATGCATAGCATAAGGTATGCTAAATTAAACATGTCCTAATACTAACCATCATAAGCTGGTAAATAAAAGGGGAGAAAGACGTGGGGTTGGAAGACATACACACACTCACGCACACTTATTACACCATTGCCCTCACTCGGAGGGTCCAAATAAATATTACAGTCCCGAATAATAAACAAATAAAAATTATTACAGAATTTCCTAATTAATCAATAAATTAAATGTAAATGGAAAGTGGCCACAGCCCGCCTTGGAATGCGTGAATGATGCATGCTTGACCCATCTCGCCCGAAAAGCCCGTGCCATAACACTGCCACCTCTGTTTACACTGCCCTGTCTTTCTGAAAATTGCCAAAACTCCAGAACATGTTCCTTGCATGCTGCAGAGCACCACCGGCTGGACAGAATTCCCATCGGCAGTCCAGGATTTCCGTCGGCATTGTTTGGGTTTATCGGCCATTAAAATATTGCCGGCCGGCACTGAATTCTGCCGGTCGGCAGAAACTTCCTGCAGAAGACAGTTTTGACAGCAACAGAGAATAGACAGCATATGGCATAGGATTTCAGGCACATGTATGCATGGACACACTCCCTATCATGTAATGGACTCAAGGGAGCATGGCTCTCGATCCTCGGGCCACCAATCACGCATTTCGATGCATGATGGCCAAAGAGTCAAGTATGCATTTCAATGTCAAATGCAATGCACACAAAACATACAAGGGACCCAACCTTAATCATGGTTGGTCAAGAGGCGAGGCAATGCACAACAATGCATATGCGACCTAAGCATGCAAGCAAACATACAAACATGCAATATAACTACATGGCACACACAATGCTAACAACATAACATGCACAACGTATTGAAACATGGCATACACAATGCAAGATGGACTTACACCAATGTGAGTGGACCTCAGCCGCACCCACATCAGTGGCCATAAGATGAAAATGAAGTGCCTCGAAATGCATGCACACGAGCACGCAAACCGAGGCAGTGGCATATGCAATGCAATAGCTAAAATGGCATATAGAATGCAACATGGACTTATACTAACATGAGAGAGCCTCAGCCACACTCATATAAGAGGCCGATGGATGAAAATGAAGTGCCTCGAAATGCGTGCACACGGGCACGCAAACCGAGGCAATGGTACATGCAATGTAAATGACATGGAAAATGCAACATGGACTTATACTAGCATGAGAGAGCCTCAGCCACACTCATATAAGAGGCCGATAGATGAAAATGAAGTGCAACGCATGGAATGAATCCCGAAATGCGAAATTAGGCACATAAAATGGCTTACAGCTATACAAAGCATGCATAATTGATACATGGAATGAAAAGACAGAAGTAAGGCAGCCTCAAAATAAGCATTTTTACAGTTTATGACATGGCCAAACAGCAAGCAAAGATAGGGCTAAAATGGCATACGAAAACAGGGCTAACACATGGATTTCAAAGCAAGTAGCACATAGAGTATCCAAACAGTGTTGAGCCCTTCTTCAATGTTGAATAAAGGCTCAAAATAAGCAACTTCACAGTTTATAACATGCCTCAAAACAGATCACACGCAAGCCAAAAATATTATGCACAATTATGGCGTAAAGAGGGCTAATGAAGGAATTGCTAGCTACTGTCCTCAAACAGCAAGAGGTCCTCAATCAAGCATGAAGAGGACCTCAAAATATGATGATTTGAAGTTTGGGTCGGAGCCCAAAGATGTAACCACAAGGAGCTAAGATATAGGCCAAAAAAATGCGCAAAAGAGGGAAAATGAGACTCACCCTTGTAGAACCAATCTTTAGCAACCTTTGGACCAAGTTTGGGAGCTTTTAACCTCTGGAGGACAGCCTCAAGCTGCTGGAATAGGCGTTGGATGCCTTGTGCTATGAGTTGATGAAGAAATGGCCCAAGAACAAGGGTGTTTGATGGTTGAATGGGAGAGATAGAGGGAGGTATATGGATATATGTATGTATATATCAGATATATCTATATATCTCTGGTTTTTTGTTCCAAGAATCCAACCTCAACAAAGGAGGAGAAGAGGTGCTTATATAAGCAATGC